TCCCTGCCCATACCTGCGAGCACTTCCTAGGAGGGATCCGCCCCCACAGGCTGCCCGTGAGGGATCAGAGGGTCCCTTGTAAGTCTCTGTCACCGGCTCCCCCAGACCAGGTCTTCTGTAGAACGCCTCTCTCAAAGACAAGGTCTCGTGTCCACTTGGGTGATGCCAGCCGCTCCACGGCCAATGCCATGCCACGGCTCCTCTGCCTCCCGACTTGCCTTTCTGTCTCTTTCCTTCCGGATTCCACGGCAGGGACTTCAGACGCATCAGGCTCTGACCACTGGCTGCGAGTGTCTGTTCCCTGAGCCACTCTCTCCAACACAAATGACTTTATCAGGCACCTCAATCCATTCTGCGATTTTAAGAAACGGGATGTGCTGCTCAAATCCGTGATGGCGGAGTTCTAACTGGCATCGGCCCCTCAAAGCGCTGCTCAATTTGATCTCTAAACTGTGGCTGTTGTGAAACAGTCGCCTTTTCCGACCCTGCAAATCACTGATATGTAGACTCTGCTTAACTTCTGTTCCGGCTGGTTCTTTCCAGAGCTTATCTTTCTCACGAGACGCCTTACCAGATGCAGGCAGGAGCAGGCAGCACCACGCATTACCATCATTTAATTTCTCAGCTGCTTCCCAGGGGAATATAGGTTATTGGTTTATCATCTGCCTTCAAGAGATCGGTTATCAAACAAGCTTCTCTCTCTCTCTCCCTCTCTCTCTTTTGTAGAAACAGGGTCTCACTATGTTGCCCAGGCTGGTCTTGAACTCCTAGGCTCAAGTGATCTCCCTGCCTCGGTCTCCCAAAGTGCTGGGATAACAGGCATGAGCCACCACACCTGGATTAATTTTTTGATTTTTTTTTGTAGAGATGAGGTCTTGCTATGTTGCCCAGGCTGGTCTCAAACTCCCGGGCTCAAGCAACCCTCCGGCTTTAGTCTCTCAAAATGCTGGGATGACAGGCGTGAGCCACTGTGCCCGGCCTCAAACACAATCTTACCGAACGCACTGCCTCTGCATGACACCGGCCAACAGCCTTCTATGCTTTGATGACAGGCCCAGTTTCCCCACCTGACCCAGGTCACGCTGCAAGCTTTCCTTCTGTTATCTGTAAAAGCGGCTCCACTTCCCACTTTAAGTGCCAATTTCTATATCATTTGGCATTGTCTATGGTGCTGGGTGTCAAACTTGACCATGCACCAGAATCATTCGGTGGCCTTGTGAAAGTTCAGATTACTGGACCCTCTCCCAGAATGTCTGACTCAGTAGGTCTGGGGTGGGGCTCAGGAATTTGCACTTTTTTTTTTTTTTTTGAGTTGGAGTCTCACTCTGTCGCCCAGACTGGAGAGCAGTGGCCGCTCCCAGCCACCGCAGCCTCGACCCACTGGGCTCCGGTGATCCTTCCGCCTCAACCTTCCGAGTAGCCAGAATCACAGGCATGCACTACCACGCCCGGCTGATTTTTTGATTTATTGTAGAGATGAGGTCTCACTGCCCAGGTGGGTCTCGAACCCACGGGCTCAGGCAATCCACTCACCTCAGCCTCCCAAAGGCGCGGGATTCCAGGCTGTGCCACCGAGCCCGGCTGGAATTTGCACTTCTAAAAGAGGAGGCTGCTGCAGCTGGCCCGTGGACCCCACGTTGAGAACCACAGGTCCAGGCGAAGCTGCAGTAACAAACAAATCTCCGGCATCAGTGACTGAAAACATCAAGAAGGGTTTCTCGCTGGGCACTTGTGCTGAGTTCGTTGCAGCCGCTCCACGGAGCGTGGCTAGTGACACGCACAAGTGAGCCACTCCATCAGACCAGAAGAGGTGTAGGTCACGTATGTTCGGGGTCACTTTCTAAGTTGAGTCTCATGCCTCTCTCAACTCTGAGCCACAAGGGGCCAGGGAGTCTAATTTTGCTGTGTGAGGGGGGACCCAAAAAAACCCGGAATTATCTTTGGGAGGGCAGGCCCCTTGTAGCACAGGTTTCCCCACTAAGTGAGTGTTCAGTGGAACCAGCTAGAATTGTTGTGAGAAGCTGTGTTTGGCTGCAGTGATTTTTTTTTTTTTTGAGATCCTTTCAGTGCATTTGCCCATTTCACGATGAGTGATTTGCCAGTGCACCTGACCACACCACACTGAGTGTTCAGCAGTTTTTCACCAAAAGCGGCAGGACCCCTGTGCCCCATCCTCTCTATTTCACCCCATCTCACCCCTAGTGACTTGTTTCCTGGGATGAAAAAAGTCCACAGAGGAACACATTTTTCCAACGTAGAAGAAGTGAAACAAAAAACAGCAGAAGCACTAAATGGACAAGTTCAAAAACTGTCTTGAGCAGTGGAAAAGGCATCTCGATAGGTGTGTTGCATCCAAGAGAGTACTTGGAAGGTAACTGAACTTTAACATGTAAGAATAAAAACACAATTCTTTATAAATAAATTCTGAGTTTTTTGAGGGCCCCCTTGTGCAGTTGGAAGGACACAATAGAGAGCTTCGAGCAACATTCCCAGGGAGAAAAGTGCAGCCCACATGCTGGGGTCTGGATGCCGGGCAGTTGCTGAAATCACCCAGCAAGCCCCTTGGGTCAGCACCGGGCCATGCCCTGACATCTCCCTCAGGAATAGAGCTGTCCACGCTGCTTGAACCCTTGAGAAAAGCTCCCCATCAGAGGATGGCTGGGGCAGCCCTTTCTTCCTTTGTGACCACTGCCCTTATTTTGAGAGTTCCTCGTGTCCTGTTGCCCTGCAAGCGAAGGGCCTGGCCACACTTAAGAAGACAGCCACTCACGTCTGTTTACGGTGGAAACAGTGAACTCGATTTATTGAAAAGAACTATTACAATTGTGCCTTTGTTACACAGGTTTAAAGTAGTTTAAGACACCCTTTCCTGGGCATTACAGTTAAAAATTATAACACGTCTATTTGGGTTTTGAAGAAATGTACAATGGATCATTTGACATTATATTCAAAGGGCCTAATATCCTCGAAAGTGTATCTGAGGTTTTCTGCTTACCGTTTTTCTTCTTTTCACCAATATGTCCAATTATATATATTATATATGTGGAGGGAAAAAATAAAATTACACCAAAAGAATTTCTGCAAATATAAGAAGTAATTTTATTGCAATATACCGTAGCTAGAGTGGTCTGGGGGGAACGGGACACATTTGGAACGTCAATACAAATTACAACAACTTTGAAGGGACTGGACAGAAGAAAATGACAGAATTGAAGGACAAATCAGATGGGGCGAGAAATCAAAACAGAATCACATGACCTAGACAAAATCCACAGGGCATCCCATGACAATCCTCGGTATGGCTTTGCTTTGGAAGAGGTGATGGTGGCCGTCACTGGCACACACTGGCGTCCTGGGCTCCAGACTCTCCAAGCCAGACTTTTCTTTGGCAAGAACAAGAGTTGTTTTCCAGGGAAACTTGGAAGATCTGTGCTGGTGGCGTCTGGGACACCTGGGTTGCTTTGCTGGGACCACATTCCGATGGGGGGGAGGGATGGGGACAGCACCAGAGCCATGACAGCTCCGAGGAGGCCGCTTTTTCCACAGTGGAAAGGGCGCAGCCCGAGGGCGAGTTTTCACAGTGAAGGGTCGCCTTTCCCAGCTGCTCCCTCGGGTCCTCCTGCCCACAGACGGCAGCCCCCGCCTGGATGGCCATGAGGTCCCCAGAGGGAATCGCACCGCCCCCACGCTCCAGACATCCGCAGATGGAAATCCGAATTGCCTATGGGGGAAGGAAGCCCTGCCTGCAGCCCTGGAGAGACTCACAGAGTTAACTGCACATTTCTCTGCCTGCGAGGCCGCGTGGAAGGCCGCCCAGCGCAGACGGCAGCGCCCAGGACAACGGAACGGCTTCAGTTCAGTTCTTGGAACAAACACAGAAATTAGCACCACAAACATTCGGCAACCGAATACAATCTGCTATGGTTACGCCGTGTACAAGGCAGGAAGAGTCTATTCATTGTGTGTATGTGTGTGTCTTTTCAAATCAAGTAAGCACAGCCCCAGTGAGCACCACAGGCCTCACGACGGGCTCCTGTGCCCCATGGGAGGGAGGGAGGGTGGTGTTCACTGATCTAAAAGTCCGTGGCAAAACTTAGATTGTGGAGGTGACGACCAGGACCAAGACAGCAGGGAGAATGAGGCACGGCCGGGTACCCCCAGTGTTGCCTTCAAGGAGATCTTAAAACAGATAGCACCACAAAAAAAGAAGTCTACAAAAAGAGCACCAATTGTCATTGAAGTATCATCTACAGAAAATGTGGTTTCCCTGACCTCGACATTCTCCCATCAGGTGCTGAAGACAGAAAAATGGAAAGAGAAAGCAATTAAAATTAATTTAAGCCCGTGGTTTAGTCTAAGTGCATGCAGAAAAGGTAAAACACCAAATTCTCTTTTTTTTTCCTCCTCGTTCCCAAAAAGAAAAAAAAAATTCAGAGCAAATCAAAAAAATTGTCTGACGAGGGGCGCTGGCACCTGCTTTTTCAATGACAGCGTGACTCCTGCCGCCCTGGGCACATTTCCAATTTATTGCACATGCTTGACTGGGGCCAGGGGCGGGGTCGGGGAGACTTCCTACTTCTAATCGGAATTGGATCACGACCCAGAATGGATGCCGCACCCCGTCTGCCCATCCTGCCAGTGGGACGGAGACTGGGTTTCCACACAGGACTGAAAGCCAGGCACACTTAACATTTATAACAATACAATACAAATATTTACTTAAAACTCACAAAAACATAAGCACCTTTAATCCATCGGAAAGGCACAGGCGAAATGACATTTGGCCTCTAAATGGATGTGTTGAGGGTTGTTAGGAACGGAGGCTTTGGTGGCGGTGGGGTGACCTTTACAAGGCTGGCCTCAAATGCTTTTTGAAGGTCAGGGGAGAAATACACATCTTCAAGTTGAAATTTTAAAAAAGAAAGTGATATCCAAATCCTGCCACCCCGC